AAATTGTCAGTCCATGACGGATATTTTCAGTGTAAGGTCAGTGCATTCCACACTGGTGACCATGGAGCATGCACCTTGAATTATGATACTCTGTTTTGCCATCTCCCAAGGGGCCTAAACACAGACAACTTTTCTGGATTTATTCTGCTAGAGTGACAAAATATATAATTTTATTTCTTGCCACGCCTTTTCTGCAAGAGACACACCCATACTATCAAGTGTGTAAATGTAATTTTCAAAAAATATATATTAGGTAGTGCAACTCTATCCAAACCGGGTGAGAAAGACAGGCACTTCATCCGATGCAACTTTTTATCCAACCTGTCTTGATTTTTTTCATTCTTACATAAATAATAATAAAACCTCTATATATAAATACATCTAGATCCAGCCCCTTAACCTTGAAAACTTACGTTGCATTCGCTCTGGTTCATCCTTGATAATTTCATCTGCAGCCCCTCATCCAGTTCAGAATTCGAAATTAACTCCTCACTCTCTACCGAAGCAGAATCTTTACTTGGATTGTTTTCCTCCACACCTCGTTCAACTTTGACCTTTTTTGTTGAGGAGCTCCCTTCGTCCTTCTCCATCCTAAGCTAGAATCACGTTACGGAATTCGTATTGACGCAATTTGAATTGACAAAACGACAATGGTTAGAGGACCTCGTGCGATGTCGGGCTTTAAAACATCATACACCAAGGTAGCATGCTAGCATGTAATAGATTGCAAATATCTATCTTGAATGAACTATCGTAACTTAGGTCATCAGAAATTCCATATGCAGCTAACAATGATCTTGCACTTCAGGCAGGGCCTAAGCCTCAGATGAAACAGGTGTCATAAAAGTCCAGTTACTTGTAAATTTTCTTTTCAATAAATCTGATACCACTATGCAAAGAAAAACATTCAATGTGAATTGAACAGAAGAAAATCGAGATACGTCTAATAAAGTGTGACACGATAAAATTAATCCCTTGTTGTGGTCTTTGCCCTGGGTGGCACCACCATACCCGCGCCCTCAGTTTTCATACTTTAGACCCCTGTGTTATTGCCGTTGAACCACATAATCAAATCACGAGATATTTGAAAAACATATGACGTCAATTGACGTACTACTTCGTAGAAAAAAATCATTCTTTAATTTAGTAAAAAGAGAAAACTAGTCAAGCTTGGATCGAAACAAAACACACTGAAAGTATTTTACTGATAAAGATAGGATAATTTCAATTTTAGAAAACCCTCTAAAAAACTTTGGCGCAAAACTTTCTCTGGGCTAAAAGACTAAGAAAGTTTTTATGTTGCATCATCTAATCTTTGATTCCATTTTTTCCAACTGAAACTTCCCGTGCTTTTTAAGTTCTTGCCAGAAATAGAGGCGTCTCTGAGCCAGACTGTAAAGTATTTTTCTGCGCGTACATTTTTGATAGTCAAGTTTTGTTTTTTTTATCACATAATTTGGGTGGCTACGACAACTTTTATGGTTTTCTATGCCAGTTGACTAAAAGATTGCTACACAAAGTGAATGGGGGTGATGAATTCGGTAAATTTAAGTTTATATAAAATAGGTTTTGTCAAATTATGCAAAGAAACTGGCAGCTGATATTAATGATAAGGATATGCATAGATATTTTTGCCGACACTTGCAAAACTACCTGAATTCAAAATTTGCAGTATAATGACACGTCCTGCAATATTTTCAAAATGTGACACTTTTGGGTACAAACATTATTGGGAACATTTACTTCTGTATAAGTATAATCATAATCATCATTAACTCGTAACTTGTGGGTAATTTCCATCTTTCAACAAACCTGGCATGGAAAATATCCATTTACTTACAGAAGATTCACTCTCCTTTTGCATTGAAGTTCGTTCAGGTTCTCTTTTTCTGCTAACAATTGAATCATTCATGACTGTGTCACAGCCACTTCTCTTATACGTAACAGCAAAGAACATAACTTTCTCTCCAAAAAGTTTCTCAAAATGAAAATTTGATTATGCAAGTAAATTATGCAAACAAATCCATATTCACGCATGGTTGTTCACATGTAGTGCGGAGGAAGATAAAGTTGTGCTTTTGAATGTCAACAAGGAACCAAATACGCGGAAATTATTTGTAATACCTCTCACCCTTTCAGAAATGTTCATGCATCATATCACTTCCAACACGGAAATATTCTGTCGTGGTAGTGAGGAAGATCCAGCTTAAAGGGGAAAACCGTTTTCTGAACTGTCTTTGATATGAGAATGTAACTATTTCAGTCAAAACAACCAATCATCACGCTCTTAGCTTAGCTCTTAAGGCCGGTTTACACGATCATATTCAGGTCACATTTGCATCACATATTTTATGTGATCACAGAATGTGATCGTGTAAACGACCTTACAAGTTGCTTGAAGTTGTACGAAGCAGCAAGAATTAATCCTTTTTAATTGCCTGTTAATTCGATGTCACAGATTTTTCATTTGACTAGCGATCAAATGGAAAGTCTGTGATGCAATTTTTTCAAAGGCACCGACAAGTCTTTGCTGCCCTGGGTAGATCGGGAACTATTTCGAGTTCATTTGTATCGACGTATTTGAGGAAAGTGACTTACGTTTCTAGAAAGATGGGCAACATTGACGTGGAATTCATTCCTGATACGCAATCAGAATACTACGAAGAGCCTGCATTCTCATTTCAGGCCATTAAATAAGCTGCAGGCAAACCGTACCAAAACAGAAGGAAAGTCAAGAAATTCGGATGGAAAGACAAAATTGTCGAGTTGGTTATTGAACTGTGGCAAAATCAGCCATTGTTATTTGAATTTGAATTTTAGGGTGCCCGTGAATTTTTGCGACGATACCCTTGAGATCAGCTCAAAATACATTTGAGAATTTCCCCCCCCCCCCGCTACGCTACTGATAAGAAGATAAATACTGATAAAAATAAATAAAGTAAAATCACCCCCCACACCCCCGCTAAATCTGTCCCTGCAGGCCATTATATATGCCCCTTTCGTAGTGCCTGCATAGCCAGGGCTTTGTCCAACAACTCCTTTTCCGTCTTTTTTTATTTTTGTTTTCATCACTGCGCAGGCTAATAAAATAGCTGCTACAGCTCTCTTATCTTCCTCGCTCTCGACTTCCACTGACAACAAATGAAACGTAAACATTTAATGAAGGCAGATCACTGATAAAATGGGCGCCAAACAGTTCCCGATCTACCCAGGACAGCAAAGACTTGTCGGTGCCTTTGAAAAAATTGCATCACAGACATTTCCATTTGATCACTGGTCAAATGAAAAATCTGTGACATCGAATTAACAGGCAATCAAAAAGGATTAATTCTTGCTGCTTCGTACAACTTCAAGCAACTTGTAAGGTCGTTTACACGATCACATTCTGTGATCACATAAAATATGTGATGCAAATGTGACCTGAATATGATCGTGTAAACCGGCCTTTAGCAATCATCCGGATGTCACCCGGTTTACATGTTGTTTGAATGACATAAATAATCGAGGAGAAAACCGCACTGGCTGGTTTATGGTTTTCTCAATGGCTTTTCTTCGGCAATTTTATTATCATTGTATCCATTAAGTTGCATTATATCCTGTCGCTCCCGTGAAAGCTGTGACTTAATTTCATGGTGCTCCTTCGCATGACCCACAATACCATCGTGCTCCTCTCGGTTGAAATCCCTGTTGCTGCTTGGAATTCATGCGAAACGTGCAGAGATGCTTGATTTAGATCATGTTTTGGACCGTTTCAAGGAAATTTACCCTAACAACAGCAAAATCACGCTGTCATAAATAAAGTCTTTAATGAATTTTCTTCTTAAGGGGTTCTCTTTTCGTTTCAAGACATTATTATTGCCAATGAAAACATTTCGATCATGAGCACATTTTGCGTAATAAATTTTTCAAAAAGCACTTCTTGTCCTTTTTCATCAACTATTTTTTCAATAGAATTGTTCACCGCATAGCTTGCGATAAACAAATGGTTTAGAGAAAACCATCGATTAACTTCTTCCACCATAGATAGGAAGAAATATTCAGCAATAGGCAATATTTGCGCATTCAGTTTCTTACAAGGCACAAATTGCCGAGAAAATCTCGTGGACTCCGACACAGGTTGGAAAGTGGGGGCGGGGAAGGAGCAAGGGAGAATTTTGCACCCACAACAAAAGATTTTGGAAAAATGCTGTTGCTTTGTAAAAAAGTGGGGGCCATGATCCCTCGGTGCCCCTTCATTGGAGGTGCTGCTCAGGGGCGTCGCGACTGGGGGGTTGTCACACCCACACGCTTTAGGTATTTCAGAGACCTTCATGTCATAAAATCTATAAAGGATCCAGCAATCTTAGGTAAAATTGTGCCTCGTGTCCATTTCTCCTAAAGTTTCTCAGTAGAAGCGTCAACTGCAATTCACTATGAGCTCCAGAATTTTCTTAACATTCAAAAGGCATGCTAAAATAGAGAGAGGGATCTAAATTTAGAAGTAACTGACAACCTGGTATTTTTCAAGACCACAGCGAAATTGTTGATTTTATCTGCTGTAAAAAAGTTTTGCAAAAAGACAATAATTTTCAATAGGATTAGGAGGATTGCTTTAGTGAAATTTGCTTAAAAGAGCGCATTTTCCAGGGAACTAGAAGCATCACAATTCGAAAATGTCCTGCCCCTTCGGCGCCCATTATCGCCTCGGGTAGTAACTATATAATTTGCCCGTCCCGATATAGAGATTTGACAAGACTATTAGGAAAGTCGGATATTATCATACAGAGTTAGATTGACAAAATGTATTGCAGAGGTTTGTGACACCAGCTAAAAAGTTTCAGGCAATCATTTTTTGATTAGGTAAATTTGTATTTCACACCCCCCCCCGCCCTCCTCTCAACGAGGCTTGCCTCGGGACGGCCCTGCCTGCTATATGGGGAAAATCGAATTTTTTTTCTGTCGGCAATTTGACACATCCAGCGTCGGCAGTTACGGAGAATATAAACTTCGGCACCTTGAAGGTTTGTCTCTAGCGCCACCCCTGGTTTTCTCCCGGTGTGCTCGATATACTGGTAAAAACGACTTCATTTTATCTGGCTGTCAAAAGTCCTGGGACACTAACGTCAGTTTTTTTGGCAAATTCAGCAATCGCCTCTACCTCTCAAAGGCGTAGAAGATTAAAGGGCTGGTGACAGCCCCCTAATTACGTAATATTTATCGCATTCAGGCCTCATTACGACAATTTCATCTTGATGAAGCAATGATATTCAGGCAAGATCCATACTAAGCCCCTCTAAACGTTTAACACCCGCTTCCTCCATGTCCCCCCGGAAACTGTATTGGTTTGCTCCAAGGAGGCACTTGGCAAATAGCGATTCGCGTTGCTTCTATATTTTTCATTAGACTGCCTTATATTTGTCAAATTAAAAAAATTTAGCCCTAAGATTTTTGAATAAACTCATTGAAAAAGGTGTTTAGCAAAAAAGTCTGAAATTTTTCTAAAAATGTTTTGCTAGCTATTCTGGTTATGATAAGGGGCTTAGGGGAACATTATACCCGGGGCAAACGTAATAAAGTTTCTGGAATGTTCCCTTTTTTACGGTGGCCCACAGGTGCCACGGTAAAACTTTATTTTCTCGCAGCAAAACTTTCTTTTTTCACGGCAAAACTTTCTTTTTTCACGGCAAAACTTTCTTTCTCACGGCAAAACTTTCTTTCTCGCGGAAAACTTACTTTCTCACGGCAAAACTTTCTTTCTCACGGCAAAACTTTCTTTCTCACGGCAAAACTTACTTTCTCACGGCAAAACTTTCTTTCTCACGGCAAAACTTGCTTTCTCACGGCAAAACTTTCTTTACGTGATGTTGTGTACGTGAAACTTAGATCTAATCAATGCTTTAGACGTTTTAAACTTCGCAGATTTGCGAATACCTACATCTTCTCTTGATAATTCTTGCAGAAAGACAGCCCAGAAATGGTCTAAAATTTATCTAGGTTGGGCTAGGCTAGGCCTATATGCCTATCTCAACGAAACAGTGCCGCATGCAAGGTCTTTGATTCCTTTGTTTTGAAAGCAGTGAAAAAGATCAATTCGTTGAAAATTGGCGTGCACATAAAATTCGTGCAAAAAAATCTCGTACGTGCACTTGTCACGCTCGATTGTGGCTTGTAAAAAACCTATAAATTGGGTGTTGTGTTTAATATCATATCATATCGTATTACTCACAGGTTGGGTTGATGGCTAGGTACTTAATTTTTCGAATAATAGTAAAAACAATGAATAAAGAAATGAAATAATAAGCATGGGCATAATATAAGGGGAGAAAAAAATCGAAGTGGTTGCCCAACAAACAACATCCATTGTTTATGAAAATTTTGCCTGACTGACTCATGGTAGATTTCTGCCTGATTATCGCTTTTTTGGAAACTTTTCAAAGTTGGGAAACTACAGTTGCCGCTGCAGCCCCCTTATCTCCCCAGACCCTTGTCTTCTACGCCTATGTTAGAAAAGCAACAGGAACAAAGCAATACGACGACGAGAATCCAATGTCACGAGATAAAATATTCAAAATAAATTAAATTTGAGGAATAAATTAAATTCAAAGAAAGTTTTGCCGTGAAAAAAAAAAGTTTTGCCGTGAGAAGTAAAGTTTTGCCGTGAGAAATAAAGTTTTGCCGTGAACAAAGAAAGTTTTGCCGTGAGAAAGTAAGCCGTGAGAAAGTAAGTTTTGCCGTGAGAAAGAAAGTTTTGCCGTGGCACCTGTGGGCCACCGTACTTTTTTGTCTTCTTGCTTTTTTAAAAAAACACTTCCTTTTTAAGGAACTTATGTACCAGACTTTGCAAAATATAGATGACTCATTCTATTAGACTACGCCTCTAAGTCTAACAGTTTGTGAGTCAACGAATAACTTCATAGGCAATCAGTCTCAAATGTTTAATATAAAGAATATAGAAAAGCTAAGAATAACAATGAAAACAAAGCACTCACGACCTTTAGCTTGCTTGCTTTAGTATTGGCGACTTGTGGCGTCTCTGAATTAAATACTTCGAATGGCAACAGCGACGTCTGTCAAGCGACACACGCTTCGACTTTCATCGGGAAACGGCGGCCACGATTCTTTTGGCAAGGCGGGAACGCCCACAGTAAAAAGCCTCCTACTCTAAAACAGGCAAGCTCCTTTATACCCTTTCTAAAATACAGCTAGCCAATAACAAAACAGAACATGATAACAGCCAATTAGATACTAGAATAGAACAATAGTTAAAAAGCATAAAAGTTAATAAAAGGATGTTCACGCTGATAACCACGTGGACCAGCACGTGATAGAAGTTCGATCTTCGTACCGTAACAATTCTGTAGGTAACATCATTGTAGAGGACAAGTGACACGCTTTTGGCGCCAAATTTTTTTCTTCTTTTAACTTAAAGAAAAATGCTGTGTAAGAGTGTTGTTGAAATATTTTTCCTTTCTGATTTCATTTTTCTACTTAAAAACCCTTTTCAAATTATGGCGGGAAATGAATCACGTGACACCGTGACGTAGATTGTGATAATTTGTTATTGCTGCTACTGGTATACAGTGCAATATTAACGTTTACAACACGCTTCTAAACGAATTCAGTTCGTCTGGACCTGTCGCGTTGTGTTTCGTAAACTCTCTATTAATGACAGGAAAATTCCGAGTTATCACAATGTACGTCATAGGGTCACGTGATAAAAAGCAAAATTGCGCCCCCTGATTAGAATTTTTTGTTCTAAACCAGGAAAAACTTACTTCTAAATGATGATCTATAAGTTAATGACAAGAAAAGATAGGGTGAAAAGTGTGTCACTTGTCCTTTAACATTTGCAAGCCCAGATATTGGAAGCCTCGGTCCTGAAGCTTGCCTCGTTATTGTCTTGTAGCCATTCCGTTCAAGATGGCGTCTTGAGGAAAGATTATTTTAACCTTGAAAAACATACAAGATAAGATGGATTATGCCTCGACATTACAAATTAAGATTCGGGAAATCAATCCGCATATCGTTTGCAGCCTCTGTGCTGGCTACTTCATCGATGCCACGACGATAATCGAGTGCCTCCACACATTTTGCAAGAGCTGCCTTGTGAAATATTTACAATCAAGCAAATTCTGTCCAACATGTAATACGAAAATTCATGAAACTCATCCTTTAAGCAATATTAGGCTCGATCGCACATTGCAAGATATCGTTCAAAATATAGTACCGGGGTTGTATGAAAGCGAAAGAAAAAAGAAGATCGAATTCTACACCAGTAGAGGGCTACCAGTGCCATTTACGGGCAACAACGATGATGCTCAAAGTGATGATGAAGAAAACCATGGAAAAGACAAAACCACTACCGATTTTAGTAACAGCAAGTCATCGTACAGAGATGACGAGCAAATAACTCTATGCATTGGCGTTGACTCAATGCAAAAAAGTTACGAAGATTTTGCCGTTCCAGCTTTGCAAAGGAAATACTTACGTTGCTCTGTAAGAGCCAAATGTGGGCATTTAATTAAACTGTTACAGAAATTGATAATTCCTCCGGAAGGGTACGAAGTACATGTCAAATGCAATGGGGTGTTAGTGCCTCTTGATAAAACTATGAAATTTGTTTGGTTGGCACATTGGAGACAACAGAAGCAGCCGATGGATTTATCTTACCTTTTTGAGAAAATCAACTGATAAGACTTTCAGCTTTAGATGTTTTAGATGTTTGATAAATTTGTGCAGAAGACTCCAATGATATATGAAACTAAATAAAAAATCAATTTATGTTAAGTTTGAAAAAATATAAATTCTGGGCCTGGATTGGAAGGGCATACAGTAGACTCTAGTTATAGTAACACCAAATTTTGCTTGTAAACTTGTGACTGTAAACAGGGGTTTAATGTAAGTGGAGCTAAAATTAAAAGTTTTTGGGTCTAAGTTTTATGTGACTGTAACCAGTAGTGTGACTTTCTGTGGAGTCAACTGTACAATTGCAAATAAATTCACTCACACAAATTCCCTAGATAACAGTCATTATGGGTGGTAGATTGCTTGCCTCAATAAGTCAAATTTGACCTTGTCAAACACAGCAGTGTCATCAAAAGCCTCAAGATCATTGATAGAAAAAGAGATTTTGGACCATGCCATTTTTGCTGTGAGAAAATTCCCTTTCAAGAACATGTAATGCAATTTTACCAATAGGGTACATTTATTTTGGTTTTCCAAAGACAGTCTCAAAATCATGATATCACATCACAAAACGAATACTTTATTAAAGTATTACCCCTCCTAATACATTTATCTTCAAATTCAGATCAACCACATATCAGTTCATTTGGTCTTTTGTACCTCAATGGCATGCAGTAACCACATGCAAACCTTTTTTTCCTGACCAGGCCCTCAAGCATTTTGAATTTTTCAGTAGCAATTATATTATCTCAAGCATTCCAGTAGCAATAATATTAAACATCTTTCAAGTTATTGTTTTTTGCTGAAGAGAACTAGTTTATATTTCTTTATTAAATTTTTCTTTGATATTTTTCATTATCAGTTAGGTAATTGTGTTTGTGTTTTGTCTGTACAAGTTTCAACTAAATGCTGCTGAATCTTAGGTGACATCGTGCAAAAGTAAATCTTGCTGGATCTTCTTCTTAGGGCTTTGTTATAGTCCACAAGTTTCTTCAAAAAATAAATCTACTGAAATGGTATTACATTTAATAGGATGCTAAAGCCTGAAGTCAAGAACTAAGCATGAACCCATCTATTCAAGTGATAACATTACATCATTTCCAGACTTGTATATGATCTTTTAACCATCAAGCCTAATGAAAGCCTGTTTAATGCTAATGCCCCTACTTTTTTAAATATATGTGAAAAAATTTAAAATTCTTCACACACTGTTGATAACTAGCGGCCTATTGAGTTAGGAATATCAAAACAAGTAGATTGAAGATTGTATTTATCAATGCAAAACCACCATAGACCAGAAAATAGACTTGCAAAAGTCACCCTCCCCTCTTTGCAAAACAGTGCCTTCCTGCATAGTTTTTTGGTTTTGAGTCATTGATTTGCCTTGCCTCGTCCAGGAGCGTCAATTTACGTCAGAGGGTCCATTATAGGTTTGATACATCATAGCCCCGACCTTGTCTCTACCTGCAGCCTACTGATTCTGCAATAGTTCACACACTTTTATTTTATAAGAACACACTTTATAAGAACACTAAGGCTCAATTTGCCCACAAAATAAGAACAAGGCTAGAACATGGTCAGCTTCAGATGACAAATTTAAGAAAAAACAATTCGCATTTTGAAGTTTTTGTCATATCAACAGAACAAAAAATGCAATTTATAAACATAAAAACAATTTATTTTTAAACTTTACCCAGCAAAAAGTCTTAGAAACTATATAGAGTATAGTATATGTAACTTCTCAAATATTTGCAAAAAATCACTCTTAAAATAAGAACAATTTTCAGAACATTTGAGCCTAAAATTATTGAAAAGTTAAGAACATCGAGGCTCGGCAAAAATTATAGAAAAGAGTGTATCCTCTGCGAAGGAGGTAACAGGCTGGGATGACGTTTTCAACGAAATAAATTTGGTCTAAACAGTGGAATATAAAGGTTAATTTATCTTTTTTGGTAACTGTAAGTTAAGAACGTCTAAAGTAGTAAAATGAGCGTTTATTAGTCATGTGGCGTCCAATTAGCTCCATGTCTGTATATAGATATCTTGATAAAAATAAGGCAAAACCAAATCATAACGGTATCGGAATCTTATTTAGCAAGCGATTTACTATCAAAACTTTAAGAAGAGACTTTCGTGGTACTCAAACTATAAAAAGAGACTTTTTGTCGTTTTTGTCAACCCACATTGATAGTATTAAAGGTACGCGATTGGTTAGTCTTCTTGCGATGCAAAACTGCTCACATGAAAAGCTGACCTCGCAGCAGGATAGATAAACAGAACGACCGTAATGACTGGGGCGATGACATGAAAAATCACATGTTTCTAAAAAAACCCCCGCAGAGTCGCTTGCTTTACCTGGACACATTACCTTTAATTGGTCACAAAGAGTATTACTATACTCATACAGTTAAGATGACCGTGGAATCTTACTGATGAAATCAAGAGCTAGAGCTACGAAGGATAGGTAGAAACAGCACAAACGACGAAAAGCAATCCAACACAAATGAATCCAGCACAGGCAAATTTTCGATAGCCAAGAATGATTTGGCTCTGTCCATTTCTAATAAGATATTCATATAAGGACATGAGGGTAATTTCACGTAGAGAAATTTGACGTCACGTGACTAATTAAATTCCACTTTACTATTTTGAACGTGAACGTACTTCTACCAAAAGAAGATAAATTATCCTTCATATTCCACTGTTTAGACCAGATTTATTTTGTTAAAAACGTTCTTCCAGCCACGTTACTCTTTCGCAGAGGCTAAGCAGGAACTTCTACTGATTTTACCCCCATTTTACCCCCCAAAACAGCGGCAAATCTCAAATTGCCATCATTATTCCCAGTTGATAAAGAACACGATACCGGTAATCAAAATTTCCGTGACCTAAAGTGGTACCCCCGCAATTTCCGTCTCGCCTGTCTGTGTCGTTCAGCGTAAAAATTAGCGCGTGCGGATCGCGGCTTTTGCCTGGTTTTTTAACGGTTTTGCGGCTTTTGGACTACAGATAACAGCTCCTCCCTTCTAGACATTCTGGTTTGAAGTTTTATTTGTTTTCTTTTTCCATTATGTAATACCGAAAGTGCAACAAAATAGGTGACCCCAAAACCGGGGCAAAAAATCAGAAGAACAAACAAGTTAAAGTCACACCAAAGTCACACCTTGTTTTCACTATTCCTTTTAGGTGGGGTTTTTAAGGATAAGGCTAATTGCTAAATGGCTATTGGAAGGTAAAACGCTTTTATTTACGCTGATGATGATGTTCTCTTACATTGTAATGGATTGCTCCGCCCAATCAAGTTTATAAATAGTGGCGAATCTAGCTTTGAAAATCTGGGGGGAAGGCTAGCTGGGGGCACACTTTCAGCTAGAAGGGCCATTTCTTTGCGAACTAGTAAAATGTAAAGCAGTGGCATGGTGGCTTAAAATTAGCTACAAGGCACCGTCTCTTAGCGCCCCTATATTTAACTAAAGGTAACTTTGGGCCGTTACTCCACTGAGTTTTATCTGTTTAACAATAATGCGTCATGGACATTAGAATTTCAACAGAAGAACTATACTTATAAAAATAAAAGGCTAATAGCTTTGTATAGTTGACTGGTAAAGTTTTTCCATAGTAGTTTTCTCTTATATCAAACCTCCATGAGATCAAGCAAATCATGCTGTTACACAGAATTTGAAATCATATAACTATGACCCCGTTTACACTGTCCCGTGCAAGTTTGGAACCGTGACAAAACTGTCGCGGTTCGCCCTTGCGTTTACACTAGCACTGTGGAACCGTGACGATTTTGCTCTGCTATCCGGAACAGTTTTGACCCTGCTTTGAAAGCGAACGAATTTTGTACCGTCACGGTTCCGTTTTTGAACGGGACAGTGTAAACACCTATCCGAGACGATTTTGTCACGGATTCACAAAGAGGCCTTTTGTATGGCTGTTTCAGGTAATCGAGGCTTTGATTGTGGCGTAACTACGTTCTCAAATTCTGAAGAAAAGGAAATTCTGAAGAAAAGACGACCACAGAAAAGGCTTGCAGTGTTTCCCAGTCCAAGCCTTGATTGGACTTTGCAGTTTTGTAGTCTAAAATAACACTGAAAATTAAAGCCACCTTGTCTTTCGTCCAAGTGAAGTTTTAATCGGCCTTCCGCTCCATTTTAACTCACAATAAAAATTCGATTGTTGACTTCAGCGGCAAAATAAAAGCCTTGGTTGACTAAATACAGCTTCTTCTAAACAATGTTCTACCATTAAATTAAGGTCGTACCGGTACAGTGTAAACGGAACGGCTAAACGGAACAATTTGGAACCGCGACAGTGTAAACACTTGCGAACCGTAACGGTACAAAATTGTCCCGGGACAGTGTAAACGGGGTCTATATTTCCCTGCGATGGGTTTCAGAGCGAAAAGGGTCTTCAATTGGATACAGAGAATCTTGGTTTAGGCTTACACTGCGCATTCCACCCAAAGACGGCGTATCTTTGTGATATTATATAACAAATATAGAATTAAAATGATTGTCAAGAATGAATTTTTCTTGGTTACTACAGAAAGGAGCCAAAATTTCATTAATGTTCTCCTCGGTTACAAACCAAAACGATTATCAGAGCCTTTAGCTTGTTAATTAAATGCAATAAAGATTGCACTGAGCAAAACAAAGAGAGCAACCCTAACAAGGTCGAAAAACGATTAAAGAGCTTTCCAAGAAAACATTGAATTTTTAATAGAAACTTTGGAAAAAACTGGGGGCAAAGAACATCTCTGGGGGCCATGGGCCCCTTGGCTTCCCGCAGAAACGCCACTGCTTGTAAACCCGAGTGAAGCGACCACCAATTTATGACATCATATTTTTTGACAAGTTAGGCTAATTCTTTGATAAAAATCAGTTACTTTATTTGATAGGAATTAATCATTTTGTCTTCCCCTTTTTCTAACAGTCAATGAAATCCCTTTTTACAAACCTAAAGACTCGCTTTGGCAAAAACAGGTGCTATCGTTAGCAGTACCGTGGAAATAACTGTAGGGACGGTGTTGTCGTTAGTTTAATTCGGTAAAGAACTCAAAACTAGAAGTTAAACTTGCTTGGACATGGCAGGGTCTCCGAAGATGGGAGGGGGCCGGGGAGCATGGCCCCCAACTCTTTTGCAAAACAATAGAGCCATTTTGAAAAATCTTTTGTTATGGGTCTTTACTTTTCTTTTGTTCCCCTACTTTCCAACTCACGCTCGAGCCACTGCATGCATGCCTATATATAGCTACAAACCAGTGGTTTATCTTTACGATTAAGCAATGCTAACGTCAACAAAAAATAAATGTTTCCCCAAACCAAAGCATGATAAACGAGTGTGGTCAAGTTTTCATCATTCAATTAATCAAAACAGGCACCGCCCAGAAGAGGGGCTAGGGGATTATAGCCCCCCACCTTTAGCCAAAAATGTTAAGAATTAAGAAATTGATCACCAGTCAAGCGTTTTATATTAGGTTTTAGCCCCCCCCCCACTTTTCACAACGTTCCATGGTGCCTTGCAAATGCATCCTTAGATAATTTGCAGCCCCTATCCTGTGTTTGAATCTGGTGCAAGGTTGGGAAAATCTGACCAACAAGCAATTTGTACTTTGCAGAAGTCTGAATATCGAACACAATTTGGATAGATCCGAATTACAATAGCTTCTTAAACTTAAGTACCTTGTAAACATATTTGCCATTTGCTATTTGGGTCATCATCAATTCCTTGATCTGTCCCTGCTTGTTAATGTATCTCCTTCCAAGATCACATTACATTTCCTCAAAAAACATTTTCAACATGGCAAACATGGCATTTTCCCATTCTACCCTACCCTGGGTGCCAGATTCTAAAAAATCCTAAGTATTAACAACGGGGGAAACAAACCTTTCCTCTCCCATTCATCTTTGCAATCCCTTTCCCTCGTTCTTCATCCTTTGACTCTCTAAGGCTCTGGCACCCAGGGCAAATTCTACCCTTGCCTGGTGGAGGGAGGGGAACTAAGGAATGGGGGAAGGTATTTTGAAAAAAGGGGGTTTGCTATAACAATAGCTGCCAGGATTAGTTTGAGAATCGCATTCTCAGAGTCCAATTTTGGATCATGCTTATTGCATGCCTTTGACTTCTACCCCTCCCCCTCCTTTCGTCTTACTCGTGCCCCTGTATTCCAGAAACAAAATAAGTAAATTTAAACAATTTGAGGTTCTCCAAAACAATTAGTTTTAGAACCTCTATCAGTTGACCAATAACCGATTATACAATAACTTCAAACAGTACAGATTTAAGAACCGATAGTTCAGCCTTTGGTTTTGAAAACAAAACTTCGTACTGCAGTTTGTTGTCAAAAATATATTAAAGTTACAGAAAAATTTACAGTGGGAATTTTACCTTTCTAATGCAGAAAATCGCTTGTCCCTGCACATGACTGTATAAAGTAGCTATGCCAGATTAAGGCTGGAGGATGCATGGCTTTCTTCTATTAAATTTTGTCTTTGCTCACAACGAAGATGCTTAATTTGTCACGAAGTTAATATATGCAAGAGTAAATTGAAAGGAACAAATAAGTAAAGTCAATCTTAAACTCGCAAGAAACAAATCAAAATCTGGCAACCGACAGAGGAACCAGACTGAAAAGTAAACAGAAAAATTTTGACTTACGGCCTTCGAGTCTCCGCTAATATTTATATCATTCGCATTCATGTCTTGTACATCTTCAAACGATTCTCGTTCAAACTCGTGCTCCGCTTTTTTGTCTTGGTAACCGCAAGATCGTTCGATTTCCATTTAGTTGCGCACTATGAAGTAGCAAGGCCGCTCAAGAAAGTTTGGACTCCACAGCCTTATTTTTGAAACAATCCTAGCCAAATACCTGGCAACAGACTACAGACCATTCGACACCTTCAGATTGAGATCACCAAAAACGTGAGAATCGTACGAGACTTGTTTAGATTACTCTTTCGAATACCTTTGTTTATGATAAAAGTGAGACTGTTTTCTGTGACTTAATAAATTAAGTCACACAAAGCGTTCACGATTATCACGAAATATGACCTAGTGTTGTGAAAATCACGAGAAGCGTACTCCACTGGGTGATCAACAAGCCAAAGGTCTCCTGGGGAAAGCAGTGTTACAGTGTTTGACATAA